ACAACATTAGGAAATTGCTGCGGTGCTTCAGTGCAAACAATAAGAATTAAAGTGCTATGTAGAAAGAAAGATATGTGCATGAGATATACATGAGATATATACATGAGAATAAGACTTATGAGTGCTACGTAGTAGCACTCATAAGTAGCCCAGTCGGGCTACCAAAATTTATCTCTGCCCTATTGGCCTATTGTAGGAAGGAAAAATATATGTCAATGCTTTTGCATTGTTTTGGAAATGTAGCTGGGTAATTATGTCATTGGCATCGATGAGCCACTGTCAATATGTGACATATTGAAATCGCGTTTGAATTTGCGCTGGGTTTTTTGCTTTCACTTTGCAATCGCGCGAACTGTGTATACTTCTGGTCTCAGATTTGCTTAAAAACCTTTCATCTAATTAGAAATCCCAGTCTTCAATTAATTCAATACAAAATATTAGGGGAGGGCTAGGGGAGGGTCTGTGCTGACGGACGTGGGTTACTGACCTGGTAGCCTGGCTGCCCCTGGGTGGGTCCGGGATGGGTGTGAGGTTCTGGGGGTGCTCCGTCTCTGGGCTGGGGAAATGGCATATCCATGGTAAATAAGGTAGTCACATAAACTGATCATAACTGTATCTTAATAAACCATATTAGATTAATTTAGTTGTGAAAAAACATGTACATAAAATAAAAAAGTTCTAATTTACTGGTGTTGGCCAGAGGGGCTGATGGCGTGTTATGGCAGCCTCGCTTCTGTCAATCTGCCCCTGGGCAGCTGTGGCTACAACTACAACTGTAGCTTGCCTCCACCAGTGTGTGAGAGTGAATGAATAGTGGCATTGTAAAGAGCTTTCGGTGCCTATATAAATCCAATCCATTATTATTATTACTTTATCAGATAGACGACTTCTGAAAATGACTCGCCAGTCAGTCCTGAAGACAGTAAATCGGACTTTTTGATTTTTCGATCTTGGTATGACTTGAATATCTATAACACGATCACCTTTATATCTTGATGCATGCTCATAAGATTGGGGAAACCTGTAGTCAGCTGAGACTGAGGAAGTCACTTGGATGAGTGACGTTTTCTCCCACTGAAATGGTATATCTAGATGAACAAAATAAACTTTTTGGGATCACCTTTATAGATACTGATGTTACACAGCCGGTAACCCTGTTACCCTGTACACGTGTATGGAGAACATTAGGTGTATATAGGAATATAACAATATATAATGAGGAAATATTGCACTGTGTCACACTCTACATTCTTATTTGACTGCAGTTTAGGTAGAAGGAGGACCCTGGCGCCCTTTTAACCCGTTTTTGTGTACCATGTTCTTATCAAAGAGTCTTCAATCAGTCTTTTTAGATAATGAAACAAAGCATCTCTATTAGATAGGGAAATTAGATCAATTAGGCCCTTGTTATAGCTGCTTTTGTGTTCTACTGGTAGTTTGCACTTTCTCCTACCTGACAATCAAGCTCTACTTTTGGGATGAAAGCTCCATAACAACGATGCACTCTGCCTAATAAAAAAAGATCACCTTCTTTTCACATTTGCAGTCTGACTAGCCCAAGTGTAGGGCAACGGGCTGCACTGTCAGTTTCTCCAGGCTGCCAGGGTCGTTACATCACTCTGCGAGGACACGCCTTTTTGGGTGGTGACACAATCGAGGAAAAGCGCTCGGAGGGGGAGGGGTGTCCCGTCGGCAGGCACACAGACAGCAGGCAGCAGCTGCAGCGACAGGATCTGGCGCTGTTACTCTGCACTGAAAACTTTCACATTACGATTTTAGCTCCGAAAAACACACACACGCAGGTTTAGAAACACTCCACACACTCACACGCACGACCTCTTTCTAAAATGGTAGACCGCGAGCAACTGGTGCAGAAAGCCAGGCTGGCCGAGCAGGCAGAGAGGTATGATGATATGGCAGCTTGCATGAAATCGGTAAGTAGGCTTCCTCTGTAATGACCTTTCTTTTCTCTTTGTCATTTTCTGTCATAAGTAACCTCAACAAGCTCTCTCTCTCTGTGTGTGTGTGTGTGTGTGTATGTGTGTGTGTGAGAGAGATAAATGTTTCAAGGCTGTACAGACCTAACGGTGGGGCAGGGGACTGTGCCTGTGTGTCACAGCACATTTGGGCTTAAGTGGACAAGCCGAGGACAATTGGTGTATGAAACTTATGATAAAAGATCGCATTTGTGAGGAATGCACGTCTGTGAGTATGATAGGGACAGGCTGTAAAAAGATTTGGGCTACATCATTTTGAAGAGGCCCTGTGTTCACCGTTCACACAGCAGATATATCAGTGAAATTGATCACATACATCGAAGCTCAGTGAAAATCGGTGATTTACAGTAAATCGGGGGAGGGGGTATCGGATGGGTGCTGTAGTGGATTGTGGTCGTTTGAAATGCGGACTGTCTGATCTTGGGGCGGTGCCTTTTGCCAGGCTTCTTCGTAACCGGCCGGGCTGCCCGGTTGTAACAAGAACCGAGAGAGAAATGAGTCGCAGAATGGCGATAAGAAGCCACTGAGTCATCATCTGTCTGAATCAATCATGGGTTCACAGTCAAAGGGATCCTGATCGACAGATACGCATATCGTCTGGGAGCAGAGAACGAGCTGGGTTGGTACCAATGATGATGAGAGTGACATCGCAGGCTGCTCGTGTTCCGGTTTAAACCAAATAAAGAGCCCTCGACTTAATGTGAAATACCCTACCCCCTCCTTCTCGGGCACCGTCTCTTCTGCACATTTGGCGCAGTGAGAAAGGGGCAATGTTGGCTGAAGGTTGCTCGCAAATCGATTTGCGCAGAAGGGGCGCACAGAAGTGTATCCACCTTTCAGACGTGGGTGTCGGTGCACGGACGACTTTCCAGAATCATCCATTCGGTAGATGCCATATTGCAGCAAATGCACACTCGCGTGAGCGTGATGGGAGCGCCAGTGTTCAGTCGATGCTTCTGTAGCAACCGCATCCCTGCGTCCTCGACCTCTTACAGCAGGTTCCCCACACAGAGGCGTGCCGCAGCATCTGCCAGGATGCAGCACAGGTCCAACCGTAGTGCACCATTTCACTGGCAGTGCATCTCACAGCATCAGGGCAGTCTGAGCCATCTCACAGAGAAATAGAAGTCAGTGAATGCTGGGTTGACCTGAGCTACTTTATTTAAAATAACGGACATGGAGATTATGGCTAGTGTCTTTTTTTGCTCTTAAGATAAGAGATAAAGAGTTTTCTCATGTCATATTTCTACATGATCATTTCTACATGATCATCTGTTATGGCCGTTTTCAGTTAACAGAGCTGCTTTCTATTCATGGTCGTCATCTCCAAGACTCAACTAGTAAGCTGTCAGAGTATTTTAAAGGCCGTACTGCATGCTGCTTTCCAGGACTGGCTTGTAGTGGCAGTGCCAGAGAGGGGGGCTCCACCCCTTCCCATTTGTGCCGAGTCAGAGAGTGAGAGAACAAGCTGCCCCTCACCCAGCCTGTCTCTCTGCACCACTGGGCAGTGGGGTGTGTCTGCTGCCTCGCCCATCGTTTGAGGGGAATCCCTTGCCACTGCAGGCATGGCAACCGCCCCGGTGGCAACGGAACCAAATAACCAGAAGGACGGAGCGTCCCCGGGAGGATTTGTCAGGCTTTAAGCTAAGGAGCTGGGCCCTACCAGAATGAATGATATGGTTTCTGGGCTGCTGTTGGGAGTTTTCACCACTGTCTTCAAATTTGATTACAGAACAGCATGTCCCAGCTTCAGTTCAACTTTCTACAACATGAATAAGTTATTACTTCAATAGATCTAGCTGTTGATTTTTAAGAAATTAACCATATCCAGAGAAGCTTATTTCATTAATTAGTCCAACTAAAACATCTCCACAAAAAGTAACTATGAGGTCTCCCTAATTTGACAAAAATATGATAATCACAGATAATACAATAAATCTGTGTTAGCAATTTGACATATTTTAGGATCTCAGAAATCCTACCAAAAATGATGGAGCTAGATGTTGTCTCTGGAACTATTTTCTTAAATTTTTTAACATAAGTGCTATCCTGATCCAGAACTACCACACTATTTGGAAGCGGCCTGTCAGGTTCACATAGCCGAGACAAAAAAAAAAATCTTTAAAACAAGACAAATTACAGTTCTTGAGTCATGTTGAAGTACTCATCGATAACCATATGCTACAAACACATGACACAGTACCCGGTGTTACTCTGCCTGTGTTTTGTAATAGTGACAAAACCCCTGTTCCACTGAAGTAAAGCAGTTTGTCACTGTGCCACACAGTGACTCACACAAAGAACAATATGCAGAACTGATAAAACTATTAAATCATAACACCGATAACATTGCACGATCTGATATCGTCGTGTTGGTGTTGTTCCCAGATCATCATCCTAAATGTTGCTCCAGGATCAACATTGCAAGTGACCAATCAGAATGTTGTGACGTCATACTTTTGCGACTTCGGGAAAAACTGGCGTGAAACAAAAAACTGTGCTTAAGCTGCGAGAAACCGCCTCTGTCTGCCGATCAACGGACCCTGACCCTAACCAACCCTTTAATAAACGGTAAGCAGAATTGATATTGTCCTTGCAACTTTGGAATTTCATAAATGAACGAATGGATTGGCGCGCAAAAGAATAACGTCACAACAATGTGATTGGTCACTTGCAATGTTGAACCTGGAATAACATTTTCATGATGATCTGGGAACAACACCAACACGATGATATCAGATCATCCAATAAGATTACTGACATTTAGCCAGTGGTGGCTAATCAGAAATATTAGTTATTAATTATTAATTATTAATTGATTAATAGATTACTTAATAGAGATTACACAACTAATGCTACATTTGAGATAATTTTCTTAACCTGTTTTCATACACGGGAAATATTCATCTCTTTGATCACTTAAGCTTAATTCACACATCCACTCAAGTCTGTATGTTTTTTGCGGAGCGAGAATTCTGTAATTAGTCAGTCCAGTACAGCCTCAATCAACAGACATGGCAAAATTTCTAAGTTGACCACTGTCAGTTCGGAGCATACCACATCAGCATGATGGAGGTAATTTTATGGCATGGGCACAAAGCCAGTCGCTGGTGTTGATCGATGATGGTGATAGGGGCAGAGATTGTTTTTCAGTGGTAGAGCATCTCAGGGGAGGGAAATCTGTAGTTTCTGTCTTAAAGCATTCACTGACTACAAAAGATTATTAAAGTATTAAAAATGAACCATTTTAAGTCATCTGCACAATTAATTTGAAAACCTGCAAAAATGGAGGAACAGTGTATAAAAATGGCCGTAGTTCATGTTAATGGAAGCAACTGTACTCATAAGACATGCACATCTATTAATGTGGCTGCACGAAGCCTGAGCCCTGTGTTGCTTTCTAAGTGATCAGTAAATGTTAATTGGTTTGATTGTCATCATAACTTTTAAATAGGAAAGCGCCCGCGGTGATCAGATGGACATGAAAGAGATTCAGACTCCTTGAGGTTAATGAAAACAGGGGCCATGTCTGAAAGGGGCGTCAATTGCTCTCTCTCCCTTGCTCTGTTTCTTCTGCTTTCTGTTTTTTTAATTTAGAGAGCCAGCTTCTGTCATGTTCAGTAAATGTGGGCGGTGACAATCCCCGTTTGGCCCAAAAGTTTTGTAGCTTCAATCAGCTCAGGCGTCATGGTTGCTCAAGTTTATGGACATATTTGGCTTTTTTTTTTCATTTTATTTGCAGATTTGCAATGTTGATCTGAAAGACCTTGCCATCTTTTGTTTGAGTTACATAGCAACAGCGGCTAAGAGGCCGGTTTACTGTGTATGAATATATATATGTTTATGAGAAGGCAGGCAGCCAGAGCTGCTGCACTTTAACACACGCATTTAACTAAGTCACCATAGGTAGTTGTACATTGTGTTGACTTGACCCCATTAGTTTGAATAAGCCTCCTCCC